ATGTATGTGTTACACCACAAGGGGGTGAAAACTGCAGGGGTGGTGGCCCCTGGTGAGGCCACAAAGCCTGCCAAGTTTCAAGAAGATCAGTACAGGGGTTTGGGGGGGAACCGCACCTGAAGCTGCTGACAGGCAAAACTCGTGACATGGGTGCTGTGTCTGTCTGGGGCGGGGGGGCCTGGCTGCAGCCCCCCCACCACCACTGCAGGCCTGGCTGCTAAGCTACTGTGTTACCAGTTACCTATCAATCATGATTCACTCAGGGACCAGCTCAATACAAAGTAGCTAGCTAATGTAGCCAGTTAATTAACAACAATTAACACCTACAAAAACACAGATTAAGGAGAGGAAACAATCAATACAGACAATCAACTGCCCCAAGACAGAGACAGAGACAGTCAGTTGCACAAGCACCCATGTCACAAGTTTTGCCTGTCAGCAGCCAGAAGTATAGGGCCCATCCAAAACACTACCATAACCATTAGCAGTTTCTCTCACCTGCCTCCCAAACTACATACCATTTTTATTAGCTTCTTTTTTGCTTTTTGGATCAAGCTTCTGCTCCTCATTTTTCCGGAGTTCTCAGCTATGTAATTTGCCTAAATCCCTTCACTCTTTTCTCCATACCTCCTTTCATTCAGCAAAATATCCACTTCCTTTATATCTCTCTCAATAAACATGTTAGTGCAGTGTTTCTTAACCTTTCTGGACCCGAGGCACCCCTTCACAACCTTTGTGAATGGAGTAGCATTCACTTTCAAAACCTAAATTATATATTATAGTATAGTGCACACCTCCTTGCTGAGAGGCCAGGCAGTGGGGTGGGGGGAAATGGCAAGACACAGAAAAGCTTCACACCTCTCTTATCACTTCACAGAACCCTTCAAAGGATTCAGCAGCAATCCTGGGTGTCAATGCACCCTGGTTGAGACTCACTGTGTTAGTGCTTTTTTTCATCCTGCTCTATGTATTATTCCTTACCAAAATTCAGTCAGAATCCTGATCAAATACAGACATTCCATAAAGGATTTTTTAAAAATGGTTCAAGGTTTGTTTTTTTTAAATAAAATTATCATGGACTAACAAAGCATTCTTAAGAATCATGATCTTGGGCTGGAAGGGGAGGGGGAGGAGAATACACACTTCAAAAGCAATGTCCTCCTCCAGTTGCATTTATCTTGTTGAATAATTCTGTTGCATACAATTTGATAATAATGCCTTGGAACAGGGTCTAGGCCTTTAGTTGCTTGGAAAACGTCATGCTCACCTATAATGTTATATGAAAGGAACAATGTACCTGTTTTTCACTTTCCTGGAGATGATAGTTTTCCTCTACTGCATCCTGGACAGATGTCTTGAGCCTCTCTGTATTAATATGAAATATTTTTAAGGTAGTATTGGCCTATAGGAAACAGAAGGTGGTGAACTTGAAGTATAAAGAAGTGTAAGAAGCAAATTTACAATAATACTTTGAACTACTACTTGTATAGTTAGGCAATTACTAACAACTTCAACAGCCTGTTTTTGCTTAAACAAAGGTTTTGTGGTCAGGTATGTTTTATGTTACAAGACAACAGAGTAATTTTGCTTTCCAATAAATGGTAACCATCACACTTCTCTTTTGTAAAATGAATCAACTACAAGGCATAACTTATTAAGCAGGACTGGGCTGCAAGGCAACCAGAAGAAACAGATGTATTTCTGAGAGCTCCTTTTACTAAAAAGAAAAGCTTGGAAGAGTTGCCATCACACAGCCCATCTAAGGAGCCTCATGCACCTGCTGCTTTCCTCAGTCAAAGGGGTGATGACCAGCATGTTGTTAACGCTGTGTTCCAAAATTTGGATACAGGAATGTGTGGGGCGCCTGTCTCAGCCAGACCTCAGTATCCTACAGT